TGCCACTGGTGTCCCCTGCCCTCGCTCGCTCCTCCTGCCCCTGGCTTTCCTCCCCCCCCCCCCGGCCACTTTCATTCTGTGATCTCCAAATCAGGTATCCGGACGCCTTGCGATGCGGCTTATGCAACCAGAGGAGTTTGGGTGCCTTCCTTCACTCCTGCTCTCGCTTAACAAGCATGGCGTGACTTCCGAATTCTGCCTGGCGCATGAGTCAACATCAAGCTGAGCAAATCTGAGATGAAAGTCTCTGAAGCCAGCCGAGCACAATTAGGGAGGGAAAGTGTGGGGCTCCTTCCACGAGGAGCTGAATCTGCAGGAAGGATTCTTTGGAGGGAAAAGTGCTTTCCTTCTGCTTTGGAAAGGAGGCCGGGCTCACCTCTCTTCAGTATCTGCTCAGAGCCAGCCCCTCGAGGGGTCCCAGAGGTTGCCCCTCCTGGTACGTCAGACCAAAGCAGACGGGAGAATCCTGGCTTTGAACCCTGATCCCCAAGGACCTGGCCCAGGGACGCCTCCTTGCCACTTTGAGACCTGTGGACTTCAACTCCCAGAATTCCCTAGTTGGGTTCGTACTTTAAGGATCTACCACATGGCTGGCTGGGGGATTCTGGGAGTCGAGGTCCACAAGTCTGAAAGTTGCCATGCCTGGAGAGCCCTGTGCCACATGGGACTTGCAGCTCTGCAGCCAGTGGAGGAAGGAGAGACTCCCCTTCCCACCAAGTAGTTGGAGGGGGAGAATCTTCTTAGCCCACCTCCAGAAAATGAAGGGTTTGTGTTCTGCCTTCCAAGCAAAGGTTTCCATAGATATATATTTCCATCTTCATCATCTCCATGCTCCTCATCCTCATCTTCATCATCTCCATGCTCCTTGTGGTCAGCTATATCATCTCCATGGCCACCTCTCTCTCCCTGCCCCTCCATTATCCTTCTCTCTAGCCAGCTGAGGTAACCCACAAAACACCTCAAGGGTGCCAGATGGGACCTCTGCACTAAACCCATCTTGCAGCCCTATAGCTGCTTTGGGGAGGACCTTTCTAGTTCTGACCCAGAAGCTCCCGATGCAGGCAGAGGCCCTCAGGGCAAGGAAGGCCTCTGGGCGGCCCAGTTCTTCTGCAGCGCAACCAAGCCGAGGATGGGCCTGTGGGAGAGAAAAACGGCCCCCGTTTACTCAGCCACCCCCCAGTTGGGTTGATTGGTTTGGCTGCCTGCAATTAGTCTGCTTGGCCTTCCAGGGGAGACAAGCCCATCCGTTGTTTGGAAGGGAGAGTAGGCAGAAAGCAGCGAAATAGTAATCAAAGTTTTCTCCGAGGGGAATTCGGGGGAGAGTGCCATCTGCCTACTTATCAGCCGCCAGAGGAAATTGCAATTCCCGGTTCTGCAGAATTCTTAGAAAGACATAAATTGCATGGTAAGGTTGGACCTGCCAGAAGCGGTTAGAGGAAGACCTCGGTTTCTGTGAGGGCAGGGAGCAGGAGGAAGGCTCCCTGGACGGAAACATCCCCTGGCCAAGATCCCCAAGAGGGGAGAGGCAAGCCAGGCCCTCTTGGTTTCCCCGCAACCACCACCACCACCACCACCGTTCCTCTTCCCAATTGTTCCACCCTGCAAGCTTTTTAAATCAAAAGGATAAATCAACAAGAATCGAGGGGTTGGGAGAGGCTGGTCTGGGCTTCCTGGAGCCCAGCTGAGTTGCAAGGGAAGGTCCCCTCAGCTCCCCAGGACAGGTTTCCTGCTCCAAGGCCGTCCGTGGGGACCAGGGGCAGCTGCATGCCCTGCAGCACAAGAGTCCCGAGGCTCAAGGGTGAGGCCTGGCTGGGGGATTCTGGAAGTTGCCAAGGACGGAGGAAGGGTGGAGTTAAAGGGCTTGGTCTCCAGCCACCAGGAAGGGACACCCTTCACATGCTGCCTTGTACTGGAAGGCAAGGAGGGGCTGGGGGCCAGCCAGATGCTGCTGAACATCAGCTTCCAGCAGGCCTTGGCAAGGAATGCTGGTTGGACCACCAGGTCTCCAGCTGCCCTGGCAGGAGAGGGTGCCAGTGTCGCTGGAGTCTGGTTAGGGATTATCTTGGAATAACTAGGCTTGTGGCCACCCCACCGCAGCCTCTCTGGCTCGGCCTGCCCACTTGGGGATGCTTCTCCTCTCTTGTGTCCTTGGAGCCTGTCTCCAGGAGCCCCAGCCAGCTGCAAGCAAAGCCCCGAAGCCTCAGGCGCCTCTGACTCAGGAGAGGGAAAAGAGTTCATCTCAAGCCAGGTTGGGCAAGAGGATTGTGTGGCTGCCAGAACCATCATTGTCCTCCTGAGGTTTTGCATCTCAGCTTCGGAACCTGGCTCTTCACGCCTCTGCCCCTTCCTAAGAAGGCCCCCTTGCTCGGTGGAGTTGCCCCCGTCCCATCTCTGCCCTCCTGGTCCTTCCGAGGGGCGGGCTCAGGAGCCGGCCTTTCTCCCCGTGGGCTTATTCCACGGCAGTTGTGGCCACTCTGCGGTTTCCATCCTGTGACTCAGTCAAGGAGGTTCCAGAACAGCAAAGGCCAATTAGAGCTTATTGCACACCTGCTTGATGAGGGAAAGCAGGAAAGGCTCATTCATTTGGGGAGGGGGGTGGGTGGGTGGGCTGCTCTCGCATTGTGTTCCAGGGAAAGGAACTTGTTTCAGGAGCTCCAGGCGCAGCAGCCAGAACGTTTCCATTTTCAGGGTTAGCATGGCACGTCCAATAAAACCACCTCAGTGGCGACGGTGCTTATTAATGGGTGTATTAATGGCTGTGGAGGGTTGGGCGACGTCCTTCTCCTCTGCTGAGAACAGCGTTTCTCACCCTCCTTCACATCTCCCAGCCACTCGCTTTCCCTCTCGTGGCGCTGCGAACACGAATGCCTGGAGGATGGTGCGTCCAGAAGGGAGGGGACTGGACCGGCCTGAGCTGCCTTCATGTCCAGCTCATGGGCCTTTGCTCCAGCCAAGAGGTCGCACCCGGGATCGCCACTCAGAAGGGTGGTGGAATCTCACACTCACATAGATGGCAGGGAGGCGTGAAGAGGGGGGCGAGGGTAGAGTCCTCGCACAGCAGTAAGTGGCACCAGACTGGTCTCTGCCCCGGAATCCCCGCAGCCTTCTCTGGCGCTCCCAAGGGCGGGCAGGCAGGCAGGCAGGCAGGCAGGCGCGAACCTTGTCACACGGGGTGCTGGGAAGGAAGCTTCTGCTTGAGGCGGTTGATGGATGGCTCTGGTGCGAGATGGGGCTCCAGTGTTTAGGTCACTGGTCGTCAGCAGTGATGGCGGGTTGAGTGAGTCGCCAGAGGTGCTGAAGTGGGCCATGGACAGTAGGACCTCCCTTCCCTGCGGAATCGCCTCCCGGTCTGAACAAGCAAGGTGAAGAGGGTCTTTGAGGGTCGATTCTTGTTCGGCATTGAATTGAATTGAATTGAATTGAATTTATTATATTTCTATGCCGCCCTTTTCCCCAAAGGGGACTCAGGGCGGCTCACAACCCAAGTCAAGGGGGAAGGGTACAAATAAGGAATAAAAAAAAGACAGACAAAAACAATACCATTGTTTAAAAGCACACAACCACCATACCATTCGATGGGGGACAAAGCTCATTAGCCCCAGGCCTGTCGGAACAGCCAGGTTTTGGAGTCCTGCCCTTGGGACTTTGGACAGGACCCCCCAGAGGTTCCACCAGTGGCAAAGGTCCACCAGCTTGGAGAAGGCTGCAGTGTGACAGGGGGGCAAAGGGACATTGGGAGGTGGCCTACTTTCCTTTCAACGACCTTGTTGGGTAGTGATCCTTGCAGGCAAGTAGGCCGAAGATAGCAGCTTACCTGGGAGCAGGTGGAAACCCTTGCGGTGTGATCCCTCTCTGCCTTCGCTAGCTGGATGTGCAAAGGGCAATCGGAGCCTCCGTTTCCCTGCCCTGCCTTGGAGGTCCAGGGAGGAGGGGTGTCCGCCGGCTGCAGCCAAGGCCTCTTTTTGACGGTTGTCTGCATGGTGGCCCGACTATCTGTCTCAGGCCGTTTGTGGGGATTTGGACAGGGTGTTGCTTAGCAAGACAGGGGTGACTCACGTGGGGCTCAGGCTGTTTGGAGAAGCCCAGTGGCCTCCTGTGGAAGTGACTCTGGTTGCTGTAAAGTCTCACGTTGTTGGGACAGACGTCGCAAAGGCCTTGGTTAAAGGCTGAGGGGGGCTTCTCATTCCACCCATGGAGTGTGCAGGGGGGATGACAGCACACGAGGGGAGTTGTGGCGCCTTTTCAGGTGACGGAGGAGGGAAAAGGGGGAAGGTCCCCTGGTGGACCTTCTGGATTCATCCCACTTGCCCACCAGATTATGCAGAGTTGTAGCTGGCACAAATACAGCGATGAATAACGGAGGGGCTGCCTTCACGTAGTTTTTTAAAATTTATCTGTACGCACAATTAGGCTTGATGACTAACAGCTTGGATGCGTTCGCTTTTTCCTTGAGATGAGAGATAAACCTTCTTTTTGCGGAGTTAACCCAGTCGTGATGGGCACGTGGGAGCGGGCCGTTGAGGCAGAGAGAGCAGAAGGGCCTTTGGGGCGCTCCGAGCTTTCTTGCAGACGTTTCACAACCCTAAACAGGGAACATCATCAGTACTGGTGGTGACTACTACCGGTAGCACCGATGATGTTCCCTAGTTGGCTCATGAAATGTCTGCAAGAAAACAAGCGAGCTGAGAACCCTCATTTCAGCCTTGAGTAGCTGCTGCAAGGCGGTTCCACCCACCAGAAACCGTGGTTGGGAAGACACACCCGCGTAGTGGTGGCGAGAGGAGCCGGGGGACTTGGGCGACCCAAGAGAGCGTGCCAGGCCTCGGGGCACAGAGAAGTAGGTGGGAAGAAGCAGCTTTCAGGGTCGCAAGCCAGGAGCCCCTCCAAGGAAAGTTCTCCCCTTTTAATCCTGGAAGGAGCAGAGGGGCCGGGATGGAGCCCCACTTCTTCTCCGGCCTAACGTGAAGCCCCCCCTTTCTTTTCTCTCTTGTCCTTTACAGGATGAGATGTCGACCTTTTTCCAGTTCGGGGCCACCATCCAACAGGAGGCCATCATCATGCTGAAGTTCATGCAGTACTACGACTGGCACATATTCTCTGTGGTGACCAGCATTTTCCCTGGCTACCGGGACTTCATCAGCTTCGTCAAGTACACCGTGGAGAACAGTTTTGTGGGCTGGGACATGCAGAACGTGGTCACCCTCGATGCGGCCATCGGAGACGCCAAGTCCACCATTCAGCTGAAGAAGATCCACTCTTCGGTCATCCTGCTCTACTGCTCCACGGACGAGGCCGCCTTCATCCTGGACGAAGCCCGGTCCTTGGGCTTGACGGGCTACGACTTTTTCTGGATTGTCCCCAGCTTGGTCAGCGGGAGCATGGAAACCCCACCCGACAATTTCCCAGCGGGGCTGATTTCAGTGGCCTATGACGGGTGGGACTACACTTTGGACGCCCGGATCCGGGATGGCCTTGGGATTATTACAACGGCCGCTGCATCCATGCTGCAGAAGTATTCCTTCATCCCGGAGGCCAAGACCAGCTGCTACGGGCAGTCGGAGTACAACGAGCAGCCCTCCCACATGCTTCACAAGTAAGGCTCCTTTCGTTCTTTCAAGCCCTGGGAAGCAGAAGAATCCGCCTTTGAGAGGCCGAGCGATGCTTGTCTGCTGCCTCCGTGCAGGGAAGCGTCTGCAGAAGGCCGGAGGCCCCCAGCAGTTGCCTCCAGGGGCCTCCCTGTCGGTCAGGCCGGTCTGATACGGGCTGCGGCAAAGAGGAAGGGAAGTAACCCAATTAGGCTGGTTAATTTAGCCAGGAAACACCCTGAAGAATCTGGTGGGTTGCTGACAGCTGGCGGAAGGGAGCCGCGGTGGTGGCTGCAGGCAGCTCCTTCTACGCGAGATGAGACTTTGAGCTCATCCTCCGCTGGGCAGCAGAATAAATTCGGGCTGCTTTGTCTCCTCCGCTGCATGTGGCCGAAGAGCCAGATTTCACGCGTGAGGCCTTGAGCTAGGAGGAGATGACCCTGCAGCTGGTGATGTCACTGGATGCAGAACGGGTGGCCACCCTCGGATAAATGGCTTCCAAGTGACCTCTGCCGTCTGCCCCAGTCTTTTCGGGTGGGGTGGGGGGCCTTTGTCTCGGTCAGTGCTCGCGCCCTAAACCCTCCCCAGGCCCCAAACTGCCTTTAGCAGCAGCATCTCCGGCTGAGAACGCTAAGCCACGCAAGTGAGTACCGGAGCGCAGAGCTCCTTGTCCAGGCTGCCTCGGTGGAGGAGCAAGGAGGAATGACCTTGGGAGGAGGGTGGCTTAAGAAGGGGAGGGCCGAGATCCGAGAAGGGTCAGATTAATATTCAGAAGCCATTCCACAGGAATCCTGGAGATGCAGCCTCCAACCTTGGCTATTGCAACCGGAATACAAAAAGGAAACCGGTTCGGAAAACAGTTCCTACTACGGGGGCTGCCTTTATTTCTACATTTCCTCCTTTCATGGCCGGTGACTCCCCCCGCCCCTCTTGATTTTGGAGGGGCCCATCTCTGCAGCTAGGAAATAAAGACCGGGGGTGGGTGGGGATCATAGTTTGGCGAACGGCTGCCTTTGTGGCGTATGTGCTAATGCAGATACCTCTCCCCCCCCTCCCAAATCCCTCTCCCCCTTTCCCAGAGGCTCCACTCAGCAGCCTCTCGCCTTCATCTCTGCAGAGGGCCGGATATTGATCACACTTTCCCCAAATGTTGCCCGCTTTGGGCAACCCAAATCATGAATATGGATACAGTCACCCGTGGACTGACTGGCGCGCTGATAGTTTTGCAGCCAGGAGGCTAGAGATGCACTTTGGAAGGAAGGGAAATCTGGCTCTTTCCTCCGTTCTCCACGGAGGACCTGCGTGTGTCCACAGCGGAGCCTTGAGCCAAGAGCTGGTCTCCGGCCTCCCTCGGGATTTGCTTCCGTTGCCACCTCCTCCTGTTCTAGGGATGGGGAGGGCACCCAATCACTCCTCGGCCAACCCCTCTGCCCTCCCTGCTGGCCTTCGCCCTCTGGGTCACGTGGCCGTCTTGCCTTGGCCCCCAGCTGAAACTTTAGTTTTCCCGGGGAAAGGCCTGCGGGCAGATGCGTGGAGACTGTGTCTCTGGGCGTGAGGCGCTAAAACCGCGATGTCAAAAGCGCGACGACAACAGTGCATCTACAACAGCGTGCCGACAGAAGCGCGATTTAAGTTAAGGTAAGGTTTAGGGTTAGGTTACAGCGCGCTTCTGTCGGTGCGCTGTTGTCGGCGCGCTTCAGCGCTCATTCGTCGGCGCAGTTTTGTCTGCGCGGTTTAGTCAGGCACTCTATTGTCGTTCGCTCATTTGTGGTGGAACCGTCTCTGGGTATCCCAATCCCTGTGAAGGGGGCCTCTTCCGGGTCCTGAAAAGCCCAGGGCCACCACGCCCCCCCCCCGAGCCCCCCCTCCATCCTGTTCTCACTGCTGTCAATGCAGCATTTTCCTCTTCACTTCCCATTGAAGCCACGGCCTTGTAAGAGAGAGAGAGAGGGTGGGTGGGAAGTGTGTGCTTGTCATTCCTGAGATGCTGCCGCCTTTGTTAACTGTTACCAGCCTGCACGGCCCTTTACACACCCGAAACACCTCCTTCCAACGGAAGACTATCCTGCTTGCACCTTGTACCATCAGAAAACCCCTGCAAAGGAAGGCAGGCAGGGAGCCCAGAAGCCACAGCCAAGATGGGGCTGGATTGGCTAACTCTGCTCCCTCTCTGTGGCTCGGCTGCGGGCTTAAGGCACAAGCGCCTGAACCCAAAATCACCTGGGAGCTTCCAAAGACCTGATGGAAAAGCAATTTGGGAGGGGAGGAAGGTGTGAATGAAGGGCAGGGAAATGGGAGGGGAAGAGCCTTTGAGGAGGGAGCAGGAGAGACGGAGCGGCTGGGAGGAGGGCGAGTCTTGGCGTGTAGAGCAGGTCAACTTGCCATGGCCAACTCCAAGACCCCAAGATCAAAGAACGGGTGGAATAGGGACAGCATGGAAACAGTTTGCGGCAGAAATGGAGAGTTTTCCAATTCCCCACTCTAACCTGTTGGGGTTTTCTGGTGTCCCCCATCCAGCTTCAATTATTCTGGAAGCACCAGGATCTGTCTGTGTCTGTCTGTCTGTCTCTCTGAGCCTGGGCTGTCTTTCTGTTTCCAAGGGGGATGGGAGGACAAAGGGTGTGATAATCACCTGATTGGGAGATCCTGCTTCCCCCTGCCTGAGCTTTCAAAGCTGGAGCCAGGGACCCCTCCTCAGACCCCCAGTTCTCGAGTGTTGCCCAAGAACGCTCCTTCCTCATGACTCTTGGCCCAGATACCCCTTGCATTGATGGGATCCGACATTTCTAGCATCCCACCGTTTGAAAAGCCAAGAAGTGGAGGCCAACAAGGCTGCACATCAGAAGGCGACCAAACTGACATTCTAAGTAGAGGCCGTCCGTTAGGGCAAAGGGGCTCTCGGCCATTCCCTGCAGAAGGGGAAGCTGTGGCTCATTCCCTCGACTAGAAGGTTGCGCTGAGGCCTGGAGGGTTGAAAGGACAGCCCTAAAATTAGGCAGCATTGTAATGGGGTGTGTGTGTGTGGAATTGAGACCAGATGGGGGGGTGAAGAAGGAGAGAGAATGAGACCAGTTGCTTGGCCTTCCTTCCCAGTTCACCCCAGTGCTTTAATCCCTCCCTTGGTGAAGGAGGAGGAGGAGGAGGAGAAACGTGGGCCATGACTTCATCTTCTCCCCAGTCATGAACCTGCTTGGTGGAAACGTCTCTGCTTTGCTGCTTATTAGTCACGAGAGCCGTAGATATTTTCCAGCAGGAGGGATGGCAATCTCTCCTGAGTTGGCAGGGGGGGAAACCTGAGAGGGAGATGACTGGTCCTCTTCCAAAGGTCTCTGATTGCCCCTTAGGAGGCGCCAGCTGGGCATCTGCAGCAACCGTGGGTAGGGGTCGGCCTATTCCAGACGGAGAGGGACCCAGGGGGCCTGGCGCCTCTTCCTGAGCTGCCCCCCCAGCGGGCAGGGACCAGAAAGGGCAGAGAGGGCAGCCTTGTGGAGAGGAGGGGAGATCTTGTTCGGGGAGATCTCTACTTAGACTCCCACCACCAAAACCCCGGGGACGGTGCCAACTTAACAGGCCTCTGGCTGTTTCTTCTCCCAGCGGTCCGGCTTCAGGGTTTTGAGGGGTTTAGAGGTTTGCAAGTAAAGTGACGGTTGGGTGTCCCCCCTCCCCATGGAGAAACATCTGGCCCAGAAGAGGGGGAGGGCTGGTGTGAGACATCCTGCACGAAGGGCGGAACCTGGAAATATTTTGCCTCCCGGTGTTCGTCTTTCAATGCATCCTTAGTGCCATTGACAGACATTTCCATCATTCCTCTTTCTTGTGCGTTCCTGAAGGGAGGGTGGTGGTGGGGAGCCCCAGTGGGCACGGATGCCTCCCCCCCATCTCTGGGTTAGACGCTGGCTTCATCCGGCTCAGTGTTGTCCCACCCACCCCCCCTTTCCACTTGGCAGGTGTAACGCAATGGTTAGAAGTTAAAAGCATGAATTAAAGTGATGGTTGAAACCAATTGAGGGTTAAAAGGCCTGGTGCGTCTTTGCAGAGCGAAGGGGCTGAAGGAGCAGGCAGCTCCTGTGCAGTGTGTGTGTGTGTGTGTTTGTGATCCTGGGAGCAAAGCAGGAGGGGCTCTTGCAGGTGTGAGGCTGGTGTAAGATCCACTACAGCAGTGTTTCTCAACCTTGGCAACTTGAAGATGTCCGGACTTCAACTCCCAGAATTCCCCAGCCAGCATTCGCTGGCTGGGGAATTCTGG